TGGCTGTGCTGGCTTGAGCTTTGGGACATAAATGGGTGAAGTTATTTCCTGAGATTATTTTCCAGCTGGCAGCAAGGGGCAGCTGGCACACTCTGTGGGGACATAAGCACCATGATGGCCCCACCTCAGGACACCCAAGGCACCTTGTCCCCCCAAAATGCGTGGCAGGGGCCCGGCAGGGTGGGGGGGCTGCAATCCTACCCCATGTCCTCCTGGTTTTTGTTTTCCAGCCACGATGATGTTATTGGGAAGGTCTGCATCACCCGGGACATGCTGGTGGAGCACCCCAAGGGTAGGGGGACGGGTGGCTGGGAGGGTCCCAGCAGGGCCCTGTCTCCCAGCCCTGCAACAAGCTGGTCCTGAGGGCCCCCCCGAGGACCCCACCCCATGAGTGTGGCCCCTTTTCCCACAGGTTTCAGCGGCTGGGTGAGCCTCAGCGAGGTGGACCCCGATGAGGAGGTTCAGGGGGAGATCCACCTGCAGGTGGAGGTCCCGGGGAGCCAGGACAGCCGGCGGGTGCTGTGCTGCACTGTGCTGGAGGCCAGGTGAGGAGGGGACACGGGGGTGGCAGGAGCCTGCGTGGGCAGCTCCGTGACTCAGTTTCCCCACTGTATTAGGGTCTTCTCAGTTATCCTCCCTTGGGCAGAGCATCCTCCCTACCACCCAGCAGCTGACAGGGCTCCTGGGGCAGGGTCCACCCCATCTGCTGGGCTTTAGGACGTGCATCTCGAGATGCTGGGGGACTGAGGAGGGGAGTGGGTGCCCATAGGTATTTTGGGAGGTTGCTGGCAAATTCCTCCTCTTCTCGGCAGGGATTTGGCCAGGAAGGATCGGAATGGAGCCTCCGACCCCTTTGTCCGCTTGCGCTACAACGGGAAGGTGCAGGAGAGCACCGTGAGTGTGGCTTCAGTTTATTGGGATCCCCCAGCCTGCTGGTGGTGCAGGTGAAATCATCCCACTGGGAAGTCTGGACCTTGGCCAGGAGCCATCCCTGTCCCCCGGCGTCCCCAGCCTGGTGTCCCTGAGGAAGGGATGTTGGATCCACCCAGCGAGGAGGGATGAAGCCATTGTCTTTCCAGGTGGTCAAGAAATCCTGCTACCCCCGCTGGAACGAAACCTTCGAGTTCGAGCTGGCCGAGCCCGCAGGGGAGAAGCTGTGTGTGGAGGTGTGGGACTGGGACCTGGTTGGCAGGAATGACTTCCTGGGCAAGGTGAGCCCCCAAACCCCGTCACAGCTGCTGGGGGGCCTGCCCGGCTGCCCGCCCGACCCCCTCCTGCCTTCCCCTCCCAGGTGGTGTTCAGTGTCCCGGGGCTGGAGGCGGCTGGGCAGGAGGAGGGCTGGTTCAGGCTGCAGCCCGACAAGTCCAAGCCGAGGGAGGATGAGTGAGTCTCAGGATGGGGGGGTTTGGGGTGTGCCGTGGGTGGTGCCCACAGGGGGGGTTATTCCTGGGAAGCTTCACCCCTTTGGAGAGGCAGCTCCTGCAAATGCCCTTGTCTGGGAGAGGGGCCAAGTGCAGGGCAGCCACACCTGCGCAGGCTTCCCTGGTCTGTCAGGCCACCTCCTGCTTGGTGAAGTACTTCTCCCTGCCTCTGCCCCACCACCCTGTGCTCCTGCAGGCACCAGGGCAGCCTGGGCTCGCTGCAGCTGCAGGTGAGGCTGCGGGACGAGACAGTGCTGCCCTCCCACTGCTACCAGCCCCTGGTCCAGCTCCTGTGCCAGGAGGTGAAGTCAGGGCGCCAGGTGAGGGGTCCATGCAGAGCCCTGCTGGGGCACCCACCTTCCTCCAGCTCTCTGCCAGGACGTGCATCTCCCTTGGGCCATCATGTCACGGTGCCTCTCCCTACCAGGATGGCCAAGTCCACCTGGTCACCCTCCTGGATGAAACCACCACAGCCGAGTGCCGGCAGGAGGTCGCCATCAGCTTGGTGAGACTCTTCCTGGGCCAAGGGCTGGTCAAGGAGTTTCTGGATCTGCTCTTCGAGCTGGAGCTGGCCAAGCCCTGTAAGGCTGGAGCGAGGAGTGGAGCTGGAGCTTCCAACCATCTCCTGGGGTTGCAAAACCTCTGGAACCTTGCGTGGTGATTGTTTTGGGGGGTGATGGTTGAGGTTCAGCCATCGCACAATGCTCTGGGTGGGAACCTGTTGGGTTCATCCTCACAGGCTGAGGTTGGTGGAGGAGCAGGTGGTTTGGGGTTAGGAAATTCCTGTAACTCCCATGGAAATGGCTGGGGATGGAGGGCACAATCCCTGTAAATGTCCCCCTTGATTGCAGCTGCCTGGTGGGTGACCTGTGGCTGTCCCCCAGGCCACAGACCCTCTCCTGTTTTGCAGGTGAGCCCAACACTCTGTTCCGGAGCAACTCCCTGGCCTCAAAGTCGATGGAGTCCTTCCTCAAGGTGCCACATTGCCTAAAACCTGCTCTTCCCTCTTCACCCTGGCTCTAGGCTGTCCCTACCTGGGCGGGTTCCCAGGGGGAGTACTGGGAGGGCTGGTGGGGCTGTGTTTGTCTTCCCTGGGGCTGGGAGGTTGGAGAAAATCCCTTGGGTGACCCTTATTTGGGAGTCTGGGGGTGTCAGGTGCCAGACCTGTGGCTGTGCCCCCTGCCACTCTCCCCTGCACGGTCCCTCGGCAGGTGACAGGGATGCTATACCTGCACGCCGTCCTGGGACCCACCATCACTCGCGTGTTCGAGGAGAAGAAGTATGTGGAGCTGGACCCTGGCAAGATTGAGGTCAAAGACGTCGGGTAAGGGGCACACGGGGCAGCGGGGCGGGGGGACTCCAGCTGTGGGGCTGATGGTGCTGGTGCCCACAGGTGCTCGGGGCTGCACCGGGTGCAGACAGAGGGCGAGGTGATTGAGCAGGGCCGCCAGCACCTCCAGTCCTATCTGGGCGAGCTGCTGGATGCCATCGTCAAGTCAGCCCCGGCGTGTCCCCCCGTCATCCGCGCCGCTTTCCGGCAGCTCTTCCTGCGCGTCGGGGAGCGCTTCCCCCAGCACCAGGTTGGGCTGCAGTGGGGAGGAACGGGGGGTCAATCGGGCATGGTTGATGTGGTCCCCTCTTGGGCATGGGGGCAGCCCCCCAGGGATGGGACCCAAGGGGACAGCAGGGCCGTGCCGCACCCAAACACAACCCCGGTGCTGGAAGGCAGCCCCCACGTCCCTGGCGCATCGATGTACGTGGTGCCTGGGCATGTCCTTCTCTGGGACAGACCCTCACATGTCTCCCTCCGCCTCGGTCGGCCGCAGCACGCCAAGTTTGTGGCCATCACCAGCTTCCTCTGCCTCCGCTTCTTCTCACCGGCCATCATGACCCCCAAGCTCTTCCACCTGCGGGAGACGCACGCCGACGCACGCACCAGCCGCACGCTGCTGCTCCTGGCCAAGGTGGGACCGGGGAGGATGTGGCAGGGGGTAGCAGTGTCCCCCAGATGGGGTTTTTTCGAGGTGTTCAGCTGCTTCCCAGTGGGGAGAGCTGGGTTGGTGACAGCGCTGTCCCCGGGGGTCTGCAGGCTGTCCAGATAGTGGGCAACATGGAGCTGGTGGCCGGGCGGGCCAAGGAGGCCTGGCTGGCCCCGCTGCTGCCCGCCCTGCAGCAGGGCATCGCCCAGATGAAGGACTTCATTGCCCGGCTGGTGGGGACAGAGGAGGAGGAGGAGGAGGAGGAAGGTGAAGGGCAGCTGCTGGGCCCCCCTGCCGTGGTGGTGAAAGAGGGGCTGCTCTTCGTCCTCAAGACACGGGGCAAGGGGCCGCTGCTTGCTGCCACTGCCAAGAAGCTCCACTTCTGCCTCACCGGGGAAGCCCTCAGCTTCGGCAAGAGCCCTGGCGCCGAGGTGAGGGAGGGCCAGGGGGACGGTTGGGGTGGCAGTGGGGTGGCCCTGACCCTGTGTGTGTGTCCCCCCTCAGCGTAGCGGCACCATCGCCCTGGCTGACATCCTCGCGGCTGAGAAGGTGGAGGAGAAGAGCTTCGGGAGCTCCTATGTCATGCAGGTGGTCTACCTGGACGCAGGCGGGCAGCAGGAGACAGCCTACCTCCAGTGCAAGGTGGGACCCGGGGAGCACATACAGAGGGGTGTCCCAGCCTGGGGGACCCCCCTCACCTCTCCCACCCCCCCGCAGTGTGTCAACGACCTGAACCAGTGGCTGTCAGCCCTGCGCAAGGTGTGTGTCAACAACCCCCGTGTGCTCCGCACCTACCACCCCGGCGTCTTCCGTGGGGACAAGTGGAGCTGCTGCCACCAGAGGCAGAGGACAGGTACCAGGGTGGGCGCCCCGGAATCCCGCGGGGGTGCTGGTGGTGTGTCCCCGCCCCCCCGCCATCCTGACCCCCCTGTCCTGCAGGGCTGGGTTGTGACCGCACCCGGCACGGTGTCACCCTCCAGGACTGGACTGACCCCCTGGACCCCGCGGCGGAGGCACAACGCCTCTTCCACCACCTCCAGGGCCTCCGAGGGACCCTCAGGTGAGCCCCTGGCCTGAGGGACCACCCCAACCCCCCAGCTCCCGCCACGGGCCTGTCCCTCTCCTCCCCTTTTCCCCAGGGAAAAATACTGGGAGCTGCTGGAGCCGGAGGATGGTCAAAACGGCCCCCGGGGTGAAGGTGGGTTTGGGGTGGGGTGGGATTTTGGGGACCACACTGGGGATGCTGCGGTTGGGACATGTCCTGGGGTTTGGGGTGGGGGCTGTGGTAGTTGTGGGGTGACCCCTTGGGGGCTCACTGCTGCTCCCCCTCTCCTGCAGGTGCTCCCCTGCCCGAGGGGCCTAGCCGGCTCTTC